CTAAATGCTTTGGTTGGCACTGTTAGGAGGCACTCAATAGAGATGATCTTATAGTTTGCCTTGCAGTCCTATGAGTAAGTCACTTATTCCCACTTTGCAGAGGAGGAAATTGGGTCCACGAGACATTACAAGAGTACACCCCTAGTGAGTACTGTACATTTTGAACTGTAAACAGCTAAAACATTTTCTTTACTTGTGTCCAAGAATAGTCCCATCATTCTCTGCTGCTCAGTCTTTATTCATCAGAAAGTGTCTTTTCCTTCTTCGGAACTTGGGTCCTATATATTCTGTGTCACTTCTCAAAATATGGTAGTGTGTTATGGTTTATTCTGCAAGTGATCTGTGTTGAGCTGTCTTTTTTGAATGCAATCTACAGGAAGCAGTGACTGTGTTAACCTCTCTGCTGTCATCCACCTGGGGACTTTATGTGGTGATGCCCACAGTGGCTGGTCACCGAGTGTTTGTTGAATTCACATCTGGGGTTTGTGTTTATCAGATGGGACAGGCTCCACAAGGACATTAGCTTTAATTTAGGGGAAGTGCTTAAGTAGGTGGTCTGCCTCTCTGATTCTAGTTTGGGCTTATTTTGCCGTGTTTTTCCCAAAGTGCTAATACGGATTTAAAGTGCTTGTGTTTCTCCCAGGAAGGTATGGTGCCAGTGAAGTATAGATTAATTTTCCTTGAAATACTAGCCATTACATTTTAAAATATATTTTGTGTTCGAAATGTGAAATAAAATGAAATGAAACATAGAAAAAAGAATCCAAGGCTGGGTGCAGTGGCTCACACCTGTAATCTTAGCACATTGGGAGGCCGAGGTGGGAGGATTGAGGATTGCCTGAGCCTGGGAGGTCAAGGTTTCGGTGAGCTGTATTTGCACCACTGTGCTCCAGCCAGGGTGGCAGCACGAGACCCTGTCTCAAAAAATAAGAAAGAAAAATGAATCAAAATCCATTCTGTTTTCCTATGAGTCCGTACAATTTTGACCACATCTGCTGGTTTGTATTAATAGCCATTTGATAGGTGGATGGTGGGTGTAATCACTTTAATTTTTAAAAATTCTGAAATTTTCCTGAACATAACTAGGAAAAATATGCCAAGGATTATAAACATTCAAAGGCTTATAAAATTCTGAATTTGTACAATGGCTGAACTGGTTACTGTATTAATATTGTTTATCAGTACTAAAATATTTCAGATGATATCTAGAAACATCTTGAAAGTTTGTAATTAAAAATCTTAAAATAATAATAAAACTGTGATGATAATGAGTAATATTTACTGAGCACTTCTATGAACCAAGCATGATATTAAGTTTTTAGGTTTTATTTAAATCTCATTACACCCATGTAATGTTAGTATTACTATTTATTCTCATTTTAATTCAGTGGTTTAGGGAGCTTAAATTGCTTAGTATTACACAGCTGGTAAGTGATTCTATTAGGTTCCCTCTCCCTTTCTCTCTCTCTTCTCTCTCTATATAAAATAAACTCTCTCTCTCTCTCTACTTATATATATGTAGACATCTACACATATCTACATACATGTACATACATATGCACATATCTACACATATACATATATGTAGCCATCTACATATATGGACATAGCCACATATATACATTTATGTAGATAGCTACGTACACGTGCATATCTACATATATGTATATACACATATATATGCACATATACGTATGTATAAATAATGCATGCACACTTGCACACATGTACATATGTGTATATAGGCGCACACGTATATATGCACATACATGCACACACAGGCATATATGCACACGCATGTGCACACACATATGTAGATATCTACATATATGCATATGCACACATATGAGTATATGATTATATACACATATATGTATTTATAGATGTGTATATAGATATACACATGTGTATATGTAGATATCTACATATATGTATACTCATACATATATGTAGAGAGAGAGTTTATTTTATATATATAATATATGAGTTCTCTTTCTATATATGAGTTTATTAACTGTTAACTCACATGATCACAAGGTCCCACAATAGGCCATCCGAAGGCTGAGGAGCAAGGAAGCCAGTCTGAGTTCCAAAACTGAAGACCTTGGAGTTTGATGTTTGAGGGCAGGAAGCATCCAGCATGGGACAAAGATGTAGGTCGGGAACCTAAGCCAGTCTAGCCTTTTCATATCTTCTGCCTGCTTTTATTCTAGCTGCATTAGCAACTGATTAAATTGTGCCCACCCAGATTGAGGGTGGGTCTGCCCTTCCCAGTCCTCTGACTCAAATGTTTATCTCCTTTGGCAACACCCTCACAGACACACCCAGGAACAGTACATGCATCCTTCAATCCAATCAAGTTGACACTCTGTATTCACCATCACAGAGACTCTTAGCATTTGTTTCTCTGTAAGACTATATCTTACTTCATTTATGAAGCTTAGTTTTGCTGGATACAAAATTCTTGGCTGATAATTGTTTGTTTAAGGAGCTAAAAATAGGACCCCAAACCCTTCTAGCTTGTACAGTTATGTTACAGGAGGGCTTCTTAGATCTCGCACAAGAAATAATTCAGAGTGAGTCCTTACAGTGAAAGCAAGTTTATTAGGAAAATAACAAAAAAATGGCTACTCCATAGACAGCAGCCCTCAGGGCTGCTGGTTGTCCATTTTTATCCTTATTTCTTGATAATAAACAAGGGGCGGATTATTCATGGCTGCCCTTTTTAGACTATATAGGGTAACTTCCTGATGTTGTCATGGCATTTGTAAACTGTCATGGCACTGGTGGGAGTGTAGTAGTGAGGATGACTAGAGGTCACTCTTGTCACTATCTTGGTTTTTGTGGGTTTTAGCCAGCTTCTCCACTGCAACCTGTTTTATCAGCAAGGTCTTTATGACCTGTATTTTGTGCTGACCTCCTGTCTCATCCTGTGGGTTAGAATGCCTTAACTGTCTGGGAGTGCAGCATATTAAATCTCAGCCTCGTTTTACCCAGCTCCTATTCAAGATGGAGTTGCTCTGGTTCACATGCCTCTGATAGTTTCTGCTCAGAGATGTGCTGTTACTCTGATAGGTTTTCTTTTATAGTTTACCTGATGCTTTTGCCTCACAGCTCTTAAGATTCTTTCCTTCATCTTGGCTTTGTATAACCTCTTGACTATCTGCCTAGGTGATGAGTTTCCCAGGTGTTCTTTGAGCTTCTTGTATTTGGATGTCTGGATCTCTAGTAAGGCCGGAGAAGTTTTCCTTGATTATTCCATCAAATAATATTTGCAGACTTTTAGGTTTCTTTTTTTTCTTGGGAACACCAATTATTCTTAGATTGGATGCTTAGCGTAGTCCCAAACTTCTTGGATGCTTTGCTCATTTTTTAAAATTCTTTTTTCTTTGATGAATTGGGTTAACTTCAAGCTCTAAAGTTCTTTCTTTTGCTTGTTTGATTCTATTGCTGAGACTTTCCAGTTCATTTTGCACTTCTAGGTGTTTCTTTGATTTCTAGAAGTTGTAATTGTTTTTATTTATGCTATCTCACTGAAGAATTTTCTTTTCATATTCTTTATCATGTTTTTTATTTCTTTAAGTTGGAGTTGACCTTTCTCTGGGGCCTCCTTGATTACCTTAATGATTAACCTGAATTCTTTTTCTGGCAATCAGGATATTTTGTCTTGGTTTGGATCCATTGCTGCTGAGCTAGTATGATCTTTTGGGGGTGTTAAGGAACCTTGTTTTGTCATATTACCAGAATTGTTTTTCTGGTCCCTTCTCATTTGGGTACCCTGTGTCAGAGGGGAGATCTGGGATTCAAAGGCTGCTGTTCAGACACTTTTGTTCCAAGGGGTGCCCTCTCTTCTCCTAGGGATGCAGCTTCCTGAGAGCCAAACTGTAGTGATGGTTTTTACTCTTCTGGGTCTAGTCACCCAGTGGAGCTACTGGGCTCTGCACTGATACTAGGGAGTGTCTGCTAAGAGTCCTGTGATCTAATGGAACTAGCAGGGGCGTGAAGTAGACTCTACTAGGGTCCTTGGTTGTATTTTTGTTTAATGTGCTAGTTTTGTTTTGGTCGGCCTTGAGCAGGAGGTGGTGCTTTTGAGAACACATCTGCAGTGGTCCTATAGGGAGGAAAGCAAATTTGCCCAGGGTCACCTGGTTACATATTCAGGTTTCTCAGTTGGTGGGCGGGGCCATAGAGCTCCCAAGAGATTATGGCCTTTGTCTTTGGCAACTAGGATTGGTGAAGAAAAACCACCAGATGGGGGCAAGGATAGGTGTGTCTGAGCTCAGATTCTCCTTGGTCAGGGCTTGGGCTGCTGTTGGGGATGGGGGTGTGGTTCTCAGTTCAATGGAGTTAGGTTCCCAGGGGGATTATGGCTGCTTCTGCTGGCTCACACAGGTCGAGAGGGAAGTGGTGGGGGAAAGCTGGCAGTCACAGGCTTCATCCCGCTCCCATGCAACCCATAGTCCTAAAGGCTGGTCTCATCATTCCCACTATGCCCCCACAACAGCACAGAGTCTGTTTCCAGGCACCTGGTGACTGCGGCTGAGAACTTGCCCCAGACCACCAGCCTCCCTGCTGAGCAAGGGCACTCACATTTTTTCAGAGCCTTAGGGATCCTGCAGTGGTGATACAGTTCCTTCAAATAGTATGTGTATTCTCTCAGTTTACCTGGATGTTGCTGTGTTCTTGGATCAAAAGTTGACAGTGTGAGTCTCTGCACGTTGCTCTGTCTGTCCCATCGGGAGCTGCAAGCTAGTCCTGCCTCTTCTCTGCCATCTTCTGTCAGACCAAAGGATGTTGGTTTTTGTGTGAGTGAAGGTTTTGTGTAAATGAAGATTCAAAAGGATGTTCATCAATGTGAAAATCAAAATCTTACGGGATTGTGCATAATGGAGTTAGCAGAACATACTGATGTCCATATGTTGACTTAATGTTTTCTTTCTTCAGCTGTGTAGTATGTTTCCTGCTCAATTCGTAATGCGGAATAATTTTTTTTCCCACAGGAAGGAAAAGCTGATGCGATGCTCTCAATGCCGCGTCGCCAAATACTGTAGTTCTAAGTGTCAGGTAAGACTTTGCAGCTATACATGTAAGTGAAGCTTTCAAATTCTTTACTCTTAAATTCGTCACTCATTATACCTGTTGGCCTATGTCTATTTCTTTACAACCTTTGACTTATTTTTACTTGTCATTGACCTGCTAAGTCATACAGGTTGCCAGGGATGTTAAAATGTTAAAACCAATGTTAAACATATATGGTTAAAAATTGTGTGTGTGTGTATAGTCTATTATGCGAAAGTAAATGTCTGTTCCTCCCTACCTTACTGCCTCCTGACTTCAATTCTCATTTCCACAATCACTGTTAAGTTTCTCATCTGTCCTTGCAGTATTTGCTTGTGCAAACATATTTGTATATTTATATCCTATATTTAAAAAAACAAATATAGGTTAATCTGGCACAAGATTCTTATGTACTTTGATTTTGTTTTTCATTTAACAATAAATTTAGAGCAACATTTTGTATCCCATATGTTTCATTATATGAATTGACCATAATAATAATTTCTCCATTAATGAATGCTTAACATTTTTCTAATATTTGGTATTGCCAGTAATGCACCTAACATCCTATTTTGTACACTTCTGCAAATTAATAGTAGGGTAGATTCTTAATGTATTGATTGTTGAAAGGATATATGCTTTTTGAATTTTTAAAGATAATGCCAAATTTTCTGCTAAGAGTTTGAGCTAATTTACGAGTACTGTTGTTAACATGTTTGAAATTCTTGAAAGGATGTATAATTAACATTCAACGTGACCTTTTCCTGTAACCTTATGATAAATCATTTAATAAGAAATGTAATTATGCACTAATGAGTCACATCTTATTAAAAAGTCTTGATTAGAGGTTTTGTGTCTGTGTGTCTTGCCTCCTCCTCGCCGCCCTCCATTCACCCTCTGCGTTTCTTGTTTTTTTGTATATGCACACAGATACCCAAAGTTGCTGCTTTTAAATTTAGGACATGCTTGTCTCAGGGATTTTCTTCTCTCTCATTTTTTCCTTTGAAAGTAATTTCTTGAGACTACAGAAAAAGTGGTTTTAATGTAAATCCAATGAAAAATATCTGGGGTTCCAGGTTCTCATGCTAATTCTGACATTTGCTCGTTAAATTATCTCAGAGAAAACACAGACTGTCTGGGCCTCAGTTTCTGAATCTGTGCTAATAGTAAGAGTCTTTATTAGGCATCCACTGTGTGCCAGGCACTGTATTACTCCATTTGGTTTTACAAGAGTCTTGTGAGAATTAGGTACTATTATGATGTTTATTTTATTAATAAGGAAAATGAGGAGAGAGAGGCAGTCAGCTTGCCAACTAGTAGGCTCTGAGGTTTCGGAAATGAAACCCAGATATTCAGACTTCTAACTGCGCTTTTAAACCTAAATTTTGTTCTTGCTCTAACATTCTGATTAGGTTTAGTTTTCCAATATATGTTATATTATTATTTTGCTTCTTGGCTTTTGGATTTTTGTGGAGACAGCTTTGCTTTGTCTCTTGGACTGGAGTGTAGTGGTGTTACCAAGTTCACTGCAGCCTTGAAATCCTGGCTTCACGCAATCTCCCTGCCTCTGCTTCCTGAGCATCTGGGATCATAGGTACATACCATCACACTCAGCTAATTAAAAACTTTTTTTTAATGGAGTTGAGTTCTCACTATTTGCCCAGGCTGGTGTTAAACTCCTGAGCTCTAGCGATCCTCCTGCTTTGGCTTCCCAAAGTGCGGGTTTTACAGGTATTAGCCACTGTGCCCAGCCAGTATAATACTTTCTAATTAAAATAGGATAGGAAATTTTTAAACACTTGTATTATTTCCACATCTTTTAAACAAAAATTTTGTCAAAGCTAGAAAGATCCCTGATTTATGTAAGAATGTTACCAACAACAATAACTAAAAGCAAAAAGTGGAACATTAATACTGCTTTTAATATAGTATTAGTTCCAGAAAGATTGTTTTATGGCATGTTCTAGGTGTTTTGTTCACGTGAAACTGAGCTATTTGTTTCTAGGAACTTCAGGTTAAACAGAAAACATAGAGAAGTGACAGATTATCATATTATTTGACAAATCTAGGCAAACTTGCTTTCTAATCTCAATGACCTAAACAGTTTATTAATAAAACATTTAATAAGCAGTTTACTTAATAGAACATTTTATTTTTCCCTGTTTTGCAGTGATTTTTCCTCTAGTACAACTCTATCCTTTTGTAGTACACTCAAGAAAAAAGCTATTATCTGATTAGAATGAGTAGCAGGAGTTTGGTGGGTAGGTATGTCATTTTGATTCATTGTCATGCATGTGTTTTTACAACATATATTAGCTGTTCACTGTAGCATCGATAATAATGTCACTGTCAGATATACTGTGGAAGGTAATGGGAAAACAGCCAGTAGGATGAGGATATGTGTAACAGCTAGAGTATGTGCTTGTATGTGTGTGGACGGGGAGTTAAAGGTTGGCCAGAACATATGCATTTAAGCTGCTGTGTTTATCTCAACCTTAAAATATAGCATTGAACATTGTAATTATTGTGGATATCCACAAAGCTGTGCAAAATTAAGTGACAGACTGAACTATGAACAGTAATGAACAGAATGCAAAAGCTCTTGGAATGGAAATTGATATAGAGGATGTAAATCTGTAGTATAAAATCCATAATATGTATACCCCAGGGGGACATGATTTTGGTTCACTAGCTTAGCATTTGATGCGTGGGACCATGCCATCCAGTTGTCTGAGAGAGGCTATTGGGGTATCGCAGGGCGTAACATGTCTCTTGTACCCACAGGATGATGTGTCAGTGCCACTGGTACTCTCATTTCTTTCCTTTTTTTTTTATTTTATTTTATATTTTATTTTATTTTATTTTTTTTGGAGACAGAGTCTTTCTCTGTCTCCCAGGTTGGAGTACAGTGGTGCAATCTCAAGCTCACTGCAACCTCCACCTCGCGGATTCAAGCAATTCTCATGCCTCAGCCTCCCAAATAGCTGGGACTACAGGTGCGCGCCACCATACCCAACTATTTTTTTTGATATTTTAGTATAGACGGGATTTCACCACATTTCCCAGGCTGGTCTCGAACTCCTGAGCTCAGCGAATCCACCCGCCTTGGCCTCCCAAAGTGCTGGGATTACAGGCATGAGCCACAGCACCTGGCACACATTCCATTTTTAAACATAAGTAATACAAGGATCTGTTTTTATTATAAAAATTAACACCATATAAAGTCATATAGAGTAAAACATAAAAGTCTTTTTCCAGCTTCCTTCCCCCACTGCTACTTCTGTTTTTCAGAGATAATCCATTTGTGTCTATTTTATGGATGGAGAATATACACCAAACTATTGGTCTATACATCATATGTAGTGCACACATCTACATATATATTTACCTCTGTGTACAGTACTGTTTCTATTACTGGTCAAAATGTTTTTGTCGTCAGTGGCTTTATATTCCTGCCTATACCTTATTATGAGGTGGCTATCATATAATTTAATAGAAGGAGGTCCAGTTTTTTTTTTTCTTTATTGGCATAAATAGAACCTCACACATGATTATCAGATTGAAGAGGAAGAGCAGGCTACATTTTTTTTTTTTTTAATAAAAAGGCATTTTCAAAATAAAAGAAGGAAACACTAGTGATAGCAGATAAGTCAATTTCAAGTAATTCATCAAGTATTAATTTACCTTTTCAGGATTTAATTCGATTTATAATATATACATTTCTAATTGAATGAATTAATTGCTGAGCAAAATAATAAGTTAGGCACTACATCAAATTGTAATTTATATACTTTTTAAAAGCACTCTATTAGCAGATACAAATTCTATTTTGTATTTATAATCATAGACCTCTTTAAAAATATGAATCATGTTTTTGGGTTTACATTTTATGCTTAGTTGTAGAATGATTTGATTCAGTTTTGATGGGCAGAAAATTAATTCCACTTTAGTAAGCACTAAACAGAGTGATTTAATAAGTTGGTTTCTAGACTAGCGTACCCAAAGCAGTGATAATGAAGGAAGTCAAGTTTTGTTTATTTTATAAATGTTCTGTACCGGGCCTCAAACTGATAGACGATGAATGGAATGTACTGTAGATAAGTCAGCTTTGTATCTAACTGTAAACACAAAGGGAATGCTACATAAAGTTTAAAATGATTTGGCTGTATTTAAGTTTTTGACCTCCACAAGTGTCTGGAGGCTGGAAGTTTTCCTTTTCTCACTTTACCTTTGCCTGCTGAGTGATCTTATCTACTCCCATGACTTCAAGTGGCATCTGTATATTAATCATTCTCAAGACGCCATCTCCAGCCTCCTTCCTCCTGATTTCCATTTGGCTGTTCCACAGGTGTCTCTGGTGTAACGTATCTAAATCAGAGTACATTCTTTCCCCAGACCCACTTCCATTCATGTTTTCCAGTTCAGTGAACAGTCTCTGCAGTCGACCAGCAGTCTGAGTTGCCAGGTTTCATCTCTGTTTCTCATCCTTTCTTGGCCACACATCATTTAATCATTGTGTCCTGCTGATTTTACCACCTAAAGATCTGAATTGGTTACCTGCTTGCCAGCTTCTCTAGTATTACCTGTTACCATGATCTCTTTTCTGGATTAGCTGCATTGTTACTATGATTCTTTCCAACTTCGAAATTATTTTCTACACAGGAGTTAGAGTGATTATTATACTCTAAGTTCTGGGGGTTGGTATAAGTAGCAGGCAGTGAGCAAGTAAATAAGATCATGACTTTGATAAAACTTCTCTTATAGGGTAGAGAGATAGTGACCTATGACCACGATTATATGATTGAATGTGATTGGAGTGAGCACAAACTCACCTGTGAGTAGGTGGATACAGAAGGGTTTCCTGTAAAAGTGACATTTAACCTGAAATCTAGAATGAATGTAGCTGTTTCTGCTTTTCTTTTGATTAGTGTTAGCATGGTATATCTTTCTCCATCCATCTTCATTTAATCTATTTATACTTAAAATGGGATTCTTGTGGATGACAT